TCCATAGAGTGCGAACTTACCGTGAGGCAAGATCGAATGTTCTAAGTTTATTTTCCCTTCTGGTTGAATGTTCTTTGATGGGAAGTAGTGAGCGCGGAAAATACCCCATTGTGGCCACTAGATGGCGCCGAGGATCACAGGAAATAATCACTTCATGGTAACAACTAGAGGTGCACCGAAATGGAAACTTTAAAACCGAAATTTAAAAAAATTGTCAGACCGAAACCGAAAATGTTTATTTTTTCTATATTTTATTTGTATTTCTTTTTTTATAAACTTTTTAATTTTTTATATTTATTAATTCATTTTTTATTAAATATTTTAATTTTTTACTTTACTTTTAGGGGCTTCGGGGAAATATTGGGGCTCTAAACAGACCCCCTGATAATTCCCTTTTAACATAGAAAAAGAGATTGAGAACACATAGTCCTCAGAGAAGCGCAGAGCCCTCAGAGACGCGCAGAGCCCTCAGAGACGCGCAGAGCCCTCAGAGACGCGCAGAGAGTCCTCAGAGACGCGCAGAGAGTCCTCAGAGACGCACAGAGAGTCCTCAGAGACGCACAGAGAGTCCTCAGAGACGCACAGAGAGTCCTCAGAGACGCACAGAGAGTCCTCAGAGACGCACAGAGAGTCCTCAGAGACACACAGAGGCCTCAGAGACGCACAGAGGCCTCAGAGACGCACAGAGGCCTCAGAGACGCACAGAGGCCTCAGAGACGCACAGAGGCCTCAGAGACGCACAGAGGCCTCAGAGACGCACAGAGGCCTCAGAGACGCACAGAGGCCTCAGAGACGCACAGAGGCCTCAGAGACGCACAGAGGCCTCAGAGACGCACAGAGCCCTCAGAGACGCACAGAGCCCTCAGAGACGCACAGAGCCCTCAGAGACGCACAGAGCCCTCAGAGACGCACAGAGCCCTCAGAGACGCACAGAGCCCTCAGAGACGCACAGAGCCCTCAGAGACGCACAGAGCCCTCAGAGACGCACAGAGCCCTCAGAGACGCGCAGAGCCCTCAATCTCTTTTTCTGTGTCCCCTGTTATCAATGAACAGGAATCCTCTATACTGAGTGTCCCCGATCATTGATAACATGAGGACAGAGTGTGGTTACTATAACTACAATTATGAATGAACAGGAAGTGATGTAGGAGGTGATGTAGATCACTTCCCATTCATTCATAATTGAGGATATAGTAACCATACTCTGTCCTCAATTATCTACAAACACTCCACAATCACCGATCTCCATCCTGACAGCTGTCACAGGAGGCTGAGCGAGCGGTGTGGAAGGAGAGCCCAGCCTCCTGTGACAGCGCGGGCTGTCTCCGCCCCCACACCGCTCTGCCGGACTGCGATAGGCGGCAGAGCGGTATGGGAGGAGACGCCGGCCGCTCACAGCGCTCTCCTCCCGCAGCGCTCGGCCGGCTGTCACTTTCTCTCCTCCCCGCTCGGACACAGAGCAGCGCCCAGCTGGGAGGAAAGAAGCCAGGGATGCGCCGATGTATCGGCAGGAAAATGGCACTTTCGGTGCATCCCTAGTAACAAGAGATACAATGTAACAAATGTGAGAACTCCGGAGGGAGTTCAGATTACAGGGATCCTTATCGTCGTATCGGTTACATTCACCGCTGCCCATAATATATCGGAAAAACATTCGACCAGATAAAAGAAAATAGTTTTAAGAACATTCGATTTTCTCAATCACTGGTTAATCTGCACAGAACAAACGTAGCTGCAAATATTCTAGATGGACCCAATCAGGGCACACGGAAAAGTGCAGGAGCATCATGTGACCTCCTC